GTATGTTTTAGTCGTTATCAAGAAAAATTCGCGAGAATTTTCCTTGATACTGCTTAATTCTAATTCAGCTAATTTAGTATTAAGGTTCTATCAAAGAATTTCTCACGAATTTTTCTTGATGATCGTGATTTTTAATTTATAAATCAGACTTTTGAACTTTAAAATTAAGCAAGTATGAAGGAAATTTCTTGCGAATATTCGTTATAAATCAGACTTCTGATGGATTTTTTATATGATCACGTGAAATTATCTATACAGTTTATAGTAGGGATTGGCATCGCGTATAAATAGAAACCGCGCCCGACCTGCTAGATCATATGGAGATAATGTAATTTTTATTTGTGAAACTAAGGATATTGTTTGTTGTTTGAATTAGAGCTCCGAACGAGTCAAGTCAAGTCAAATTATATGTAAACTCGATTCGACTCGAGTTAAATCGAGTTGAGTCGAGTCAAGTTAAAATTATAAAAATATAAACTCGACTCGATTCGAGTCAAGTTGGCCCATCAAACCGAGTCGAATTAAATCACGTGATTTTATTCGGCTATGCCGATCATTTCCTTTTTTTGGTGATAGCCATTCCACAAAATTCCATTTTTGTAATTTTCAAAAATTTTTCGTCTCGGATTTTGTGTAACATAGTTTCCAAAAAAGGAAATTCCATAAATTTGGCCGGAATTATGTTTAATTCGGCTTAACTCGACTCGACTCGATTTTATTAAATTATTAACTCGACTCGAATCGATTCGATTTGATTGTAATTTTCAACTTGACTCGACTTGACTTGACTCAACCAACTCGCGAGTCAACTCGACTCATTTCGGAGCACTAGTTTGAATCGTTACCAATTACGTTTAAAGATAACTCTATACTTATTTGTGGAATAAAAGATGATCGTGAAATCATATGAAATAAAATTAGTATATAAGGAGAATTTTCTTGATATTCTCACGGGTAGTGGGATCACTGCATCCAAGTTTGATTCAAGTTTTAATAAGAGGAAAAAAAAATTTTTCCTCTGCCATTTAATTAAAAAGATGAGTAAAAAAGATATTAAAAGGCAAAACCGTCAGTTTGCGCTGTGATATTCACAAAATAAATATTACATATATGAGAGTATTATTGATCATAATTAGATAATTAAATTGGTAATTTAAATTTATTTTAATAAATAAAACACCCCTTTGATTTTTTAGATCAATTCGAGACAATTAATTTTTTTCTTTAAATTTTTAGATCAATTCAACACCCTTATTGACCATAATTAGATTGTAATTAAATTTATTTTAATAAATAAAACACCCCTTGATTTTTTAGATCAATTTGAGTTTATTAAATAGACACCCTTTACAATTAATTTTTTCTCTGGATTTTTAAATCGATTCAACACCCTTATAATTAATTTTTTCTGATTTTTATCAATTTAACATCTTTAACATTAATTTTTCTTCCTTCAATTTTTTCCTCAAAAATCACCCTTATAATTAATTTTTTCTTTGATTTTTTATTGATTTAACATCTTTAACACTAATTTTTCTTCCTTCAATTTTTTCCTCAAAAATCTCAAAAATGGATTCAATCGACAAAGAAAGTAAATTAAAAGAAATTAGTATGTAATGAATGAGATATATAAATTTATGTTTTTTATTTATGTATTATAAGTCTGTCTCTTATACACATCTAGATGTGTATAAGAGACAGAAGTTCTTCTTTGAAATTTATTGTAGAACCGAGGTCAAGATTTTGATTTGTTCACATATGCATCGAGATAATATCTAAAAATATTTTTTTTTGTTTCTTTTAGAAGTAATAGCAGCATATGATGCGTATGACGAAGCTGAGGAAGAGAAAAGGAAAGTTGAAAATGATATCACCGAAGTTAATAAAAAACTTGAAAAAGATTATGGCACTCAACTAGAATTTGCAAAGTTGGATGGTGAATGCTTTAGTCATGATGCTAAGGAGTAAGTATTATTTAAACATTTGATAATTTATCAAGTAAATTCTAATATTAAAATCCTTTATTGTTTATTAGTTATACATATACAATATGTATGTTTGACAAGGCAACTCAAAAAAGTAATAAAGATCATGTATCAACACATTTGGGGTATGAATAAAATTTTAAATCACACCTTTTTTAATAAAATAAAATAATAACGTTTTTATTTAATTAGTTACTTTGAAAAATGGATTGGAGCTGAATCAAAGGAAGATGACAAATATTACACAGCACAATTATATACTCGTGGAACAAGATGTTGGAATGGACCAGAGAGATCTGTTAAAGNCTAATAATGAAAATTTAAAAGATAATTTTGAGATTACCTCGGAGGTAAATTTGTTAAAAATGGAGGAATCTTCCTTCGAACGAAGTAAGGAAGAAATAATAAGAGCGCTGGTCGCTCAATTAATATCAATTTATGACAATGTTCTTCAGGAATATATCGAAGCAGAGATTAATAGACAAAATGGATTTCGTAATTATTTGAATTTTTTAAAGATTTATAAAAAAATCGAAATATTTTGTAACATATACAAAATCAGATTGAAAGGTCAAACAATAAAAAATCAAACAAATACCAAAATTGTCGATTATAGCAAACAAAAAATTAAATTAACAACTCTCACCATCACTCTCAGAGCAGCAAAAAGAATTGATAGGCTATTAAGTCTTTCAAATAAAAATTTTCTCATTGTTGACATATTTCCTAATTTAGATATAGTTTTTTTTAAATTGTCGTCAATTAATGTCGTCGCTGCATATGAATGTTGGCTGAAGATCATAAAAATGGGGGAAATAATTTCAGAGGAGTAAGGATACGAAATCTATCAACAAAAAAAAGGAGGAGAATTCATTAAGAGAAAATATTCTTAAACAAGTGTATGAATCGGCAGGATATGAATCGGCGGAATATTATTACATTGATGAAGAATTACCAAGATACTATCCTGGTAACAACAATCCTGATAATGAAGAATCACCAAGATATTATCCTGATAACAAAGAATCTATTCTTCTTATGAATGAATCTTAACTCTTTCCTCTGCTTCCTTTCTTTCTTCTTCTCTCCCTTCTTCGTTATTTTCCTCTTTTCCTCCCTTCTTTCCTCTCTTCTTCACTCATATCCTCCTTTTCTTCTTTTTCTCCTTTTTTGCTCTTTTATTCCCTTCTTTCCTTCCTTTTCCTCTTTCATTTCCCTTCCCTTCCCTTCCTCCTTCCTTTTCCTCTTTCATTTCCCTTCCCTTCCCTTCCTCCTTCTTTTTCCTCTTTAATTTCACCAGTGGAATCCATTATTTTTTGATTTTTTGTTACTTGGCACTTGGTACTGACTTCATCCGTTTCTTTGGCTCTCTTTTAACACTTTCTTTCACGTTCATGCATTTCTTTGGCTCTCTTTTGACACTTTCTTTCACGTTCATGTTTATTTCATGTTCATGTTTAAGTCATTATTTGGGTGTTTTTCTCCTTTTGTTATTTCATTTCTTGGATTAGTACTTTGATATCCATTTTATTATAATTTTCAAATGTAAAAGTTTATGTGAAGTGCATGGGAATTTTATATCTGATTTTTTTATCTTAATTTTTATAGTCGTCATCTTTACTTTAAAGTACAAAATTAGAAATACAATCGCCACTGGTTATAAACCTGGATATACCGAAAACTCGTTATATCGAACCAAATAGTGCAGAACTATTTATCCGAAACTCGTGTTTGTTTGATCAAATATATTATATACTGAATGATCACATGAATTAAAATTGGATAATCTTTTTCTTTATTGGAATATAAAATTTAAAAAAAAACCTGATATTAACACAATATGTCAACAAAGAAAAAAAATTATGTCAACAAATCTTGTGTTACAATATTTTGCTGTGCAAATGCAACCCCGTGTTATGAAAAATGTCAACTACAAAAACCTTCCAGTTCATTATTTTTGGAATAAGAAGGCGTGAATGCAAGTTAGTATTTTAATGAAATTCTTCTTGAACTTAATCTCTTGAACTTAATGCATGAAATTCTTCTAATATATATTTATTTCTTTTATTTCTTAGTTTTGATGAAAAAATTGATGACCTTGATATGTTAATTTCTAGCTTCCAAACAGTGATATTAATACGTATGGATATGTTCATATTGAGGATGAAATGCTAGAGGGTGGACTTACTGATGAAGAAATTGTTGATAGGGTATGAATGCAAAAATGAAATAACTTATTTATACCAGAAAAAGTTACTTTGGCAGTTGGCAGTAGTTAAAAGATTTATAAACGAATCTATAAGATTTTTATATACAGAAGTGAGTAAAGAATTAAATAATATAATATAATAATAATCATAATTCACCTTAATTATTTTTAATCATGTGATTGATTTTATTGGTAGAATTTATATACCGCATTATATCCAGTGATGACCGCAATCTCAATTTTATTAATCGAAAAAAATAAGTAGTACAAAGAAAATTCTCAGAAAATTTTCTTGATGATCGCAATTAATTGGATTTAAATTTAAAAATTGTCAATCGTAATTTCAATTTCAATTTCAATTTATTTATTAATCAGCCTTTGAAAATAAGGCCCATCAATTTCTAAAAATAGCTAAACGCGAATTTAATTTTAATGATTATTCTGTTATATAAATAAAATTGATCAATTTGTGCTTTTTTCTAACAATAATAGTTAGATAATATAAAATAGATAGTCATAACGCTATTATGTAATAATAAAAGGGTGATTTCTAATTAAACTCAATTCCAATTGTTTGTTTGTGAATTCTAATCATTTGATTGTGATGTAAATCATGATCATCTTCCGATTTCTGAAACTATTTTTCACAAATATATACTGTATTGATATTGAACCGGAATTGATGGACTGAAATTTAAAATGGCCCCATGATTTTTTAGAAAACAACTTATTAGCATAGCGGCCAATCACAAAGATAGCGCTGAAAATATAAGATCAGCTGATACTAACAACTGTGATCTGTATATGGTGATTAAGACTGATTAGAATTACAATTGTTAAGAAAAATTCTTGGGAATTTTTCTTGATACTGCTTATTTTAAAGTTTAAAGACCGATTAACAAACTGAAATCACGATTTCAAGAAAAATTCTCGCAAATTTTTCTTGATACTGCTTATTTTTAAAGTTTAAAGACCAATTAGTAAACTAAAATCACAATTTTAAGAAAAATTCTCACAAATTTTTCTTGATACAGACTGATTAGTAAATTGAAATCTCGATTTTTAAATATGATTGTCTATATTTGATTAACTTTAATAATGATTGATCATTTTGTTAGAATTGTTAATTTTAGATACATAGTATGATATTATCGATACTTTTGCAATTATAACGGATTTTGAAATCTATTATAAAATAGTTTTTTTTAGTTAAATAAATCATTTCGACTTTTTAGTAACTTTAGATAGTATAGAGTTATATTTGTGATCAAATTTTCTTTGTTAATGGTACGCGTTTCTCTAGAGTCATACCATAAATAGTATAGAGTCATATTTGTGATCAAATTTTCTTTGTTAACAGTATGCGTTTCTCTAGAATCATAATTGTTCACAATTTAGTTACCTTAGATAGTATAGAGTCATATTTGTGATCAAATTTTCTTTGTTAACAGTACGCGTTTCTCTGAGTCACGATTGTTCATAAATAAATGTGATTGAATTTTCTGTTAATGGTACGCGTTTCTCCATCATTCATACATTTTGCATTTATCATTTACGTATTCTTTCTTATTTTTATGTGTTCTCATTCATATTCGTATATTTACGTCAAAAAAATGAATCAACAAGAAGAAATTTTCTTGATCAAAAAACAAAATGAACTCATCTTGGAAAGATTAAAGTATGATAGATTTTTTATAAGAATAAATTTAAATGAATATTATTACTAATGAATTATTTTTTAAAGTTCTTTAGATGATGGTACTTTTGCTGCGTTATCCACAAATATTCGCAGACTTTCTACGTCGTCCACAACCTCCTCCATTGACGTGTCATCTTTATCAGCTCGTGAAAATATTCAGACCTTCTACGTCATCTATAACCTTTCCCGTTGACGTATCATCTTTATCAGCTCATGGAAATTCTCGCAGACCCTCTACGTCGTCCACAACCTCTCCTGTTGATGTGTCATTTTTATTAGCTCGTAGAAATATTTGCAGACCCTTTACGTTATCCACAACCTTTCCCGTTGACGTAAGTTATTAATATAAGTCTAATCATACTTTTTTTAAAAAAAATTCAATTTTGTAAAAAAACTAAAAAAACTAATAATGTATGATATGTATGATTAAAAGACACACAATAAAAGTTTTGTTGCAAAACCAAAAAAAAATACATATCTAAGTTAGATATGATAAGTACGTTAGATATAACAAATAAAATGTATACGTTGTGTATGGTACGTATATACATTAAATAATAATTGAATTTTTATATAAACAAGACTTTTTGTAATAAATTAATAATCAATAAAACTAGTTGTCAATAAGAATATGTGCAGATTATCATCTTGATTATAATTTGTCATATAAAGACATACACAAAAATATTTTATTTAAAATAATCGAAAAGGTATTTATTTTTATTTACTTTAATCAATATGTTTATAGAATAAATATATAATATTTATAGAATAATTTTATAATTATTTTTTTTTAGTTTAAAATAAAAACTAAGGATCTTAACATTGTGCTTGGATACAATGATTGGTTTGCATACGAGTTATTAAAAAAACACGTTCAGCACATTCGTAAGTATTTCTTTTTTTATTAATATAATACAAATTAAATATGATTTTTTAAAAAATCAAAAAATATAATTTATATTCATATAATCAAAGGCGACCACAAAGCAAAAACAATAAATGGATATTTCACGAAAAGAACCCGAAGTAGAGGTGAGGAGAAGCTAGTGGAAAAAAATGTAGAAGAAAGCGGTGGTGATGAAGAAGAGAGAGAAAGTGAAGGTGAAGAAGCAGCAGCAGAAATTGAAATTCGGAATGATTTCAATTCTAAAGAAGCAGCAGCAGAAATTGAAATTCAGGATGATTCCGATTCTAAAGAAGCAGCAGCAGAAATTGAAATTCAGGATGATTTTGATTCTGATATAGACGAAGATTTAGAACGTCAACTCTTAAATTTATTTTGTAAAAGATATAAAAAAACAGGCAGAACAGATAGTAGTAAGGATGAAGAATTAGAACGCAATCTTATACGTGAAATAAGAAGTAAGTAAGAGCGTAAAAAGAGGGAGAGGCAACTACAATAACAAAAAATACTACTACAACAACAACAACGAAAACAGCAGCAGGAAGAAAAAGAAAAAGAAATTGAAGAAAAAGAAAATGAAATAGAAGAAAAGAAAAATGAAACAGCGACAAGTAATAATTTTTCTGTATATTAATTAATTAATTTAAGTATTAAAAATAACTTATTTTTATCATTTTTTCTTAAGAAGGTAGACGTACTTTACGCAAAAGAAAAGTGACAGCCAATAAGGCCAATAAAAAAGCGAGGGCCAATAAAAAAAGATAATGAAAAAAATAAAAGGTAAATAACTTTACGCAAAAGGACAGTGATGGCCAATAAAAAAGATAATGAAATAACCTTACGCAAAAGGACAGTGATAGCCAATAAAAAAGATAATAAAAAAATAAAAAATAAAAAGTAAATAGTTAAATATGTTTGTAATAAACAACTCATTTTTATAAAAAAAATTATTAATGAACTGAAATAAATAATAATAGTAATTTTTATATTTAATTGGCTTTTGAACCTTAAGAAAATTCGCGAGAATTTTTCTTATCGGGATTTCAATTTACTTAAACTTTAAAATGAGCAGTATTAAGAAAAATTTGTGAGAATTTTTCTTGAAATTAGGATTTTAGTTTGCAAATTTTTCTTGATACTGCTCATTTTAGTTTACTAACCGGTCTTTAAACTTTAAAAATAAGCGATATCAAGAAAAATTCGTGAGAATTTTTCTTAAAATCAGAATTTCAATTTACTAATCGGTCTTTAAACTTTAAAAATAAGCAGTATCAAGAAAAATTCGTGAGAATTTTTCTTGAAATCGTGATTTCAGTTTGCTAATCAGTCTTTAAACTTTAAAATAAGCAGCATCAAGAAAAATTCACGAGAATTTTTCTTAAAATCGTAATTTCAATTTATTTAAACTTTAAAAATAAGCGGTATCAAGAAAAATTTGCGAGAATTTTTCTTGAAATCATGATTTCAGTTTACTAATCGGTCTTTAAACTTTAAAATAAGCAGCATCAAGAAAAATTCGCGAGAATTTTTCTTAA